CATGCTTACATCGCTGCCCAGACCGCTTCATCTTTCGCAGATGCCGTTCAGTTTGTTTCTAAAAGGCCTGTTGTCGGACGAAGGAAGCGATAATGGGCTTATGGAGGAAGTTGTGCTTGCACTGTTAAATTTGTCGATGGAAGAACTACGCTCCTCCAATGGTCCGAAAGTCTTGACACGAGGTAAAGACTGGTTCGGCAGCATGGTTGAGTTTGTGGCGGTATGCAGCGGTAACAAAAAGACACGCCCACCGCGGCGCCCGAAGGTTGTCTCGTACGAAGAAGAAGAAGAGGAAGAGGAAGAGGAGGAAGACGACAGTGACGAGACGGGGGACGAAGAAGAGGAGGAGAGTCAAAACACAGAATGGGAGGAGGAAAGAGACGATAATGATGATGAAGCGGAATCCGCCGAATCAAACGGGGAGGAAGAGGGAAAAGTGCAAGCAGAAGGGGAAGAAAAGAAGGAAAGCCTGAAAAAAAAAAAGACCTCAGAAAATGAGACAGACAAATTGGACGCGGGGATAAAAGCCACGCTGGAAAAAGTAGCGGAGCTGCGGCAAATGGCCGCTTGGGGTAACGTGGACATAGAGGATCGGTTAAATCTTTTGCGGTACATGGTGTTGGCGGCTCTTAGCTCTCCCGTAGCGAGGGAAGGGGCGGAAAATATTAGAAAGATGCATGAGGATATGCAGGTAACGATGGAAAAGCGAACGAAGGAAATTCGAGAAGGAGTCCATAAGGAACTTACTTCTTTTCTTCGGCATTTTTCTTCTTCGAAATCAGCGAAGGGCAACTCCGAGACATATGAATCCAAACGGAAGAAATTGATTGAAGAGATGGAGCAGAAGCTGCAAAATATCGTGAATGAAAATTTGGGCATGCAGGACGGAAAAGACATTGGTGCCCTTATCCGTCCACTCGGTATGGACCGCTACCGACGAATGTTTTGGCGATTTCCATTTGATCGTCACGTTCTTGTTCAGTCGACTGCTGCCACGGATCCAAACTTTCCCATATTGCCTGAGCCACGAGAACTTTTGACTGAGAGCGTGAAGGATCTAAAACCCAAGTTGCTTGATGACTCAGATGAAGACAATTTCAGTAATGGAAATGGCAATGGCCATACGAATCACAGGGAAGATGTCACGCAACGGGTGTGGGGCACTGTGCCGCCGGAATATTTAGGGCACTTCATTGAGGGATTAGACCAGCGGGGTGTAAGGGAGGCGGCGCTCCGACGCACCCTTGAATCCATTCAGCCCTATTTGCTTAATTTGAAGGAGCCGCCACTTGGCCGTGTGACTCGGACGCGGTCTCACAGCTTTGGCTATTTCAATAAGTTGAAAATTGAACCATAAGAGACAGACATAAAGACAGATAAATGTATACACACATATACATTTAAATATATATATATGCATCGAATACTATAGAGGGGGAGATGAATTATGCAATAAAAAGGAAGAAGAAGCAGGGTGGCACTGAAGTATTTGCGGTATATTGTTGTTATTGTTATTGTTGGGCAACTGTCACTTCGGCCGCTAATTGCTTTGACTTTTATCTGAGGAATTTCAAGCTCCTTTGCTGTTTTTCTCCGTTTTTTTGTTGTTGTTGTTTTTTGTGTATTTGTATACATGTGTTTTCTTTTTTTTTTTTTTTTTTTTTTTCTTATTTATTCAGGGGAAAGGAGGGGATTTATTTGTGTTTCAGCGAAGATCTGCAAAACATGCCCATCCATGAAGTGTGATGGCACAGTCCACCAAAGCTGGAAAGAGAATTCCTCTCAATCGGATTGTTTGTTGCACTCCGTCGTCGTTAAAACAGAAGTTATACGCCGATTGATAGAAGTGTCTGCCTATCTCTCTCTCATGCGTGTCTGTGTGCTGAATCTTTTGCATTATAGCACTCATTTTTATACTTTCACCTGTTTTTTTTTTTTTATTATTATTTATTTATTTATTTAGAGCTCTGGAGTTATGCGGACGATTGACTGTGAGTTCTCCCACTTCGCGGTGCATCCCGGCCACGGCCGCCGCTACGTGCCCTTTGCGTTCCTGTCGACGAAGCCCGTCCTGACGTTTGCCCGCCCCAAGTGCTTCGCCATGTACATGCGCAAGAAGAACCCCCGCTTTGTCCCGTGGACCCGCACGTACCGCCGCATCAACCGCAAGATGACAACCGACCGCGTTGGCCGTCGTCGCGCCGCTCGCACCGTGAAGGTGGAGCGCGGCATCGTTGGTGCCGACCTCTCCTACATTCAGGAGGTGCGGGCCAAGACGAAGAAGGTCGACCGCTCCGCTAAGGGCAAGGCAGTCCGCGCGGAGATGGCCGAGCGCAAGGCTGCGAAGAAGTGAACTGTCGGCTAGCCAGTCTCAGTTGTGTTTTGTTTCATAATTTTTATTTTTATTTTTTCTGCTTACCCGGCGCATGTGTCCGTGTTTATTGTGTGTCTCTTAGCTCTTTCTGGCATGTTGTGCGTGAGAGCTCTTCTCCTTTTTGATGCTTTATCTTCTGTTGTCTCCTTTTTTTTTGTTTGTTTCTTTTTTTCTGTTTGGCGGAGTTTATTATTATTATTAGGGCTGATGTGTCGCGCTGATGGCAAGCAATTGGTAAAAAGGAATCTGGTGGTGGCCGTTCTTGCTCTGGTCTTCTCTTTTGTTACGGTGGATGTATACTTGGCATCAGAGGATGTGCGGTCATCCGCGGAGCCTGCACCGCGTGTGTCAGAGCTTGCCAGATCCTCAGGGGTGCGTCTTGCCGCGTTGCCGTCTCCTCTAAACGAAGTCACCGTACTGGTGGCAAAGCCCTTTGGAGCAGCGGATGTGTTTCACAAGGTGGCGCGTTTTTTCACAAAGAATGTGAAACCTGTTGCTTCTGAGGAAAATACTCGCGCAGTGAATTTCCGGAGCGAAAGTGAGATCATGAAGGAGTTGCTTAGCTCGGCCTCCGCGAACATGGGTAACGAGGCAAAGGTGCTTCATCTCTGCTCTGCCAACTCCTGCGTCGGGCCATACCTCTCACAGCTCCACGCGAAGCGGGCCAAACAGTCGCTTGGACGCTCGATAAAAGTATACGCTTTGGTGTACGGTGATTTTTTCGTGGGGCGTGGCGTTGAAAATGACCTTCAAAATCTTGGTGTACTGATCTCCACAGTTGATTATCCGTCGAAGGCAGAATCTGCCATGCCGCTTATTGGTGTGATTGACGAGAAGAACCCCAACATCGCAGCGGATGCAATCTGCTCGGTCATGGAGAATAGCTGTCAATACAGAATATGGGATAAAGGCACGCAGCCGCAAATTCCTGTTTCATTGATTCCATTCAGCTCGGTGAGCTTTGGCAATTCACCCCTTTTAAGGACGCGGTTTGATGTGGTTCACATTGATGTCAACTGGGATGAGGCGCTAGCTTCCATTTGCTTCCTTAGAGGTGTGCTCTCTTCATCCTTTCGTCCTTCACACATTTATTTGGCAATATACGCATCACCGCTACTTGAAGATATATTGCTTTTGGTGAACACTCTTCGAGAGCAGGCGCATTATCATGTTTTTCTTGCTGGGGGACGGTGCATGGCCGCCCACGGTGCCTCTGATGTGCTCTCCCATGAAAAACTGAGCAAATTGCTGCGATTTGAGAGTCCTCAGCTTCCTTCAAAGCTGAATTCGCGTGGATATGCAATGGAACCCCTTTGTATGTTGTTTCTCTCGCAGTCATTGGAATCTTTACCGCAGCTACTTCAGCGCGTGATGCCAATTGACGGGGCACATGCCATGGCGAACTTTATATTTGAGTTTTCGTCAGGCAGTGGACCTGTTGTTACCGACTCGGAGTCCATTGGAGTGTGGAGTGCATTGAACTACTTAATGCTTGCAGTACCTTTTGTGGTAGCAGGATTATTGATTTGGAGTTTCCTTAGAGGGCAGTGCCGGCTACGAACCGTGGGCAGCAATGCGCATTAATTGTGCAATGTTGTTGTTGTTTTTTTTTACCTCCCTCTTTTCAGCATGAAGAGTGGACTTTGTTTTGCTTGGATTATTTGAACGTCCTGCCCGTGTGAATGTTTTGGAGTGAAAATGGCGGCAGTCCGGATGGCATGTGCCACCACGGCACGCATGCAACCCCCAAGGAGATTTTTCTTCCCTTGTGCGCCGAATCTTCAATAATTACAAGCCGCTCTGGTTTTTTTTTTTTTTTTTTTTTTTTTGATTTGCCATGTCTACCTTAGCCATTAGAGTAATAGTGGTGAGCCATGCTGCAGACCCCGATACTTGTGGAGCCGTGTAGTGCGATAGAAACGGGGAGAGAGGGAGAATGTTTTGGCTTTGTAAATAATCAACGCTTGCTGCTGTCATCGTTGTTGTTGTTGTTGTTGTTTTGTTTTTTGAGGAATTGTTGACGTTGTCTTGGGATGTATTTTAAGCGGATTAACTTTTGATTTTGTTTTTGTTTTTTCCGTTTCTTCGCCCCCCCCCCCCCTACATTTACGCTATCGAAAGGAAGAACTATGCGGACGATTGACTGTGAGTTCTCCCACTTCGCGGTGCATCCCGGCCACGGCCGCCGCTACGTGCCCTTTGCGTTCCTATCGACGAAGCCCGTCCTGACGTTTGCCCGCCCCAAGTGCTTCGCCATGTACATGCGCAAGAAGAATCCCCGCTTTGTCCCGTGGACCCGCACGTACCGCCGCATCAACCGCAAGATGACAACCGACCGCGTTGGCCGTCGTCGCGCCGCTCGCACCGTGAAGGTGGAGCGCGGCATCGTTGGTGCCGACCTCTCCTACATTCAGGAGGTGCGGGCCAAGACGAAGAAGGTCGACCGCTCCGCTAAGGGCAAGGCAGTCCGCGCGGAGATGGCCGAGCGCAAGGCTGCGAAGAAGTGAGGGACATGAAAATGTCTTTGCAGCAGTATGTTCTTTTTTTTTTTATTTGTTTGTTTTTCTTTCTTTCTTTGCTTTCTTCAAATATCTATGATTTGGTCTTTTGTCAAGTCCATCACTTTTAATAGCTTATATGCGTGCACACACATATTTGGAGGGATTTATTGGAACGTAAGTTGGTGGTGGGTATTTAAAAGATGTGCGGTATGTCTCCTGCTTCCTTTTTGTTTTTATTATTATTATTATTAAAGGCACTCCTTGTTTTCTGTTTAAATTGGACTAAGAATTCATTGGGAAAGGCCTGTTGACATGACATCCACAGCTACGGAGGTAACGCAAGTTCAGAGTCTTGCCGCCATACGAAATTTTATTCGTGTGGCTGTTTCTTGCGTTACGTACCTTCGGGGTTTGTGCAACGACGAGTCGTACCAGCCACGACAATTTCTCGGTCTGCAGCTCAAACAGTTGGTGCGATCATCGCCTGAAGCCGACGTCATATCACAGTGGATGGAAGATGGGGCATTTGATGCCCTCAACAAGGGGTATTTGAAGGCGCTTTCCCTCTGCATATATGCCCCAAATTTCACGGAGCTGCTTGAAAGCTACAGCTTCACCGTGTCGTACTCTCCAGACGGTCAGCGGGCTTCATTGAGGTTTGCAGGCAACTCTCAGGGCGACGGGAAAATGTGTTCGCTCACAGCTGCAACAACAGCCACGGCAAGAACTCGAAGAAAACGGCACACACGTCAGGAGGTTCAGCAGGCGCTTGCAGGTATTATCACAAAACTCGTTGAGGTGGTGGAGGGATTACCGCCGCTCCTTTGTGAGCGTGTCTTGGCGATGCAGCTGACGTATTATGAAGATGTAACGCCACCGACGTACGAGCCGCCTTGTTTTTCCCCTGCGAGTGCCCACCTCGTTGGTCTTCATCAACAGGAGACGAAGCAGAGTGCCAACATTGCGTCGCTTGATACGGGCCATCACATGATGTCTATCACCATTCGGCACCGCTTTTTTGACCGGTTGTTGTCACATTCGTCCATGTTGGCTGGAAACTCCACCATGACAACATCAACGGTAGACACGACATTTTCCGACACGGAGGGGGAGGCGGCACTCAAACAGGTTCAGGATGTAAATGCAGCGCGTAAACAGACGTATTCAGTCAAGGATTCGTCACGGGATTGCCCTGAGGATCAAACGACCAACTCCTTCTCGTCTTCAAAGGAACTTGCCTTTCTTGTGTTTACGTGTTTTGTGTTGACAAAGTCACCTGCCGTTTATCGGGGACGAGTATCCATGGGGGAAATTGCGGATTATCTTCGCGTCTCATGCCCACTCGAGATCACACTGGAGATGGCCCAACAAATGATGTGCCGACTGGAGCTGGAGGGTGTTGTCTCGGCGGCGGCGCAGCAGGAGTGGGTTGTGCATCCACTTCCTGCTGCAACAATTGCGAGTTCACTCCTCACCCAGCGGCAGGTGGTGTTGCTACTCAGCACACAGATTCATCGAGACTTGGAACGTCTCGTCAAAGGAGGAGATACGACGCGAATGAGCGTCGTTGCGAGGCGTAAGCGTCATCGAGACAAAGACTGACATGTTTGCACTCTTTTGCTTTTGTTTTTGTTTTTTGCTCTTTTTTTTT